TTATTGGCAGAACTCTTAAATAAATTAGATTTACTATTAGGAATGTTTACAATATAAATCAAATCAAATTTTAATATTTTTAAAATTAAATTAATTTAATTAATTAATAATATTTTTAAACCAATTCAATTTACTTTTATATTGTGATCAAAATAATCTAACTTGAATTGGATTTGTGAGATTTAGTCAAATTAATGTGTTTTTAACATTAGTTTAAACTTATGTAGGAATGTTCTTTTCCAAGCGGGGATTTCCATCTGGATTTCCTCTCTAAAGGACTTCTGCAAAAAGCATCGAGTGATATTGAAGCCCTGATAATATGCTAGAATTCTTTTTGAAGATTTTATTATTGTTGTAATGTAGCTCTTTAGTTCCATATGGAGAAGAAACTTATGTAGGAATGTTATTTCCCAAGCGGGGGTTTCCATCTGGATTTCCACGTAAAAAGATTTCATTGTGTGGCCGAAGGCCGACGTTTATAGGAGATTCAGTGCGACCTGGAAGTTTGGAAATTCCTCTTTTTTTTTCTTTTTTTTTTCCTTCTTTATGGAACACTGAGTCTTCATTAACAAATTTCAAGAAATTCAAGTCCGATAACAGTGGAAAACGTAACACTTTAGAACCGTCACCAATTTCTGCTCAATACCGGTGAGGATTTCTATGGTTGATCTTGTCAGGGGTGAGCATTGGGTATAAATATACCCATTACTTGCAAGTAATTTATTTATTGGGCTGGGCAAAGGCACCTTTAGCAAAATAAGGATTAAAAATAAGTTTAAACATTTTGTATTTTATGAGTTGTTCTAAGCAAATTAATAGTGTAAAAGTTTAAGGATAAGCCTTCTCAAAATATAAATTTCCTTACTTTATTAGAAATTTCTTCAGCTTCCAGCTGACCTGCAAATGACACAGACATCTAACTAAATCATTTCAATCATCAAATGGCTTATGCTACCATTGTTCTTCTCCAAAAGTTTTAGTTTTATAGGCAAAATGAGTAATGTCCTTTTCCCTTTTAATATAATTAATTTTAAATTTTAAATTTTAATTTCGAGCAGATAATACAAATAAAAATGAACAAAGGGAAAACGAGATTAGATTTAGATAGGAATCCAAGTTGTAAACATTTTCGCAAGAGAAATACGGAAGGCAGAAGAAGGGAATGAAGCACCGAACGGAGAAAGTTTTGTGTATTTTAGGGATGTTGTTGACTGAGAGTTTGGATCAATCATAACATGTTATTTAATAAAAAAAATTTTACCTCATTATTGTGTCAGCTCATTTAATAGTAAAAATAATGATATAATATATTGTTAGTAAAAAATACTTGATATTTTTTAAATATAATAAATTTTATTCATGGGAAGGTTGCAAGGTTTTTTTTTAAATTAATGATTTATAGATTTTTTAATTTTAAATTATATAATAAAATTTAATTTTATCTTATTTCCTATATTATCTTACATATATATTATATAATTTAAATTTAAACTTTAAATTTTTTATTTTTAATACAAAATTATTATT